CGTGTTTTTAAAAAAATTAATATAAGCTGAGACTTAAAAGATTTAATTATGAGATTGAGATTGATTAATTTAGAATTATTTTTTTTAATTTATGAACTAAAATATATAGCATGTTATTAGAAAAGTTGGTCCAAAATTGATACCATTAATATAGACTTCCCCTAATGTTAAAAAGTCAAGAATTTGAATGTCAAAGTTTGTAGAGAAAAACACTCACTTGAGTGTCTTCAAAACCATGAAAGGAATCTCAGCAAATTAAAGTTGTCGAATGAATTCCATGAAATGGAATGTATAAGATATTATCCTTGACATTTACTTCCAATTATTCTCAACTGCAAGCCTACGATCTTGAATTTCGCAAATACTTGGCAGGCAGGAATCAACGGACACCACACACTTGTTTTTAAACTAATAAGATACTTTTTTGTTTTTTTTAATTAATCTAATTTTCTTTATTTGCATATATTAAATATGTGGTTTGAAATCCAAATATAGAAACTTGTTTGCTTGTTTATATGTTTGAAGCAACTATAATCAAATAATTATTTGATAAATATAAAAATATAATTAAATTTTGATGGGGTTTATGTATATTGTATTTGAAACGCAAAAAAGTAAAAGTAGCTTTATACTACTTTTTCACTCGCACTATTCATTAAATTATACAATGCAAGTGAATTTTATTTACTTTTTATGTAATTTTCATGTTAATTGTAATGTTCAATAAAGAGTGCAATTAATATAAACAGTCTAGTATGCTACACTATTTTAATGGGACCAGTTCCGACTAGACCAAGTTCGATTCAAAGCTTAACATGCATTGAACTAAGTCCGATCTAGTAAAATAAAAAATATTTTTAATTGTGTTTTATTCAGAAAATTAGTGTTTAACATTATTCAATGAGACTATATAAATTAGACAGAGATTGCTTGATAACGTAGTATTCACAGAATTTGATCGCAATTATAATTTTGTTTCTAATTATATTTTACCTAACATTATTGCTTGTTTAAGAAAAAAAAACTATAATCCTTGTATAATATATTTCATACGTGATGAAATTGTATATAGTTTAATGGAACAATGAAAAATAATTTATATAAAATATTATTTATTTTATGATACAATAATAATAGCTAAATTTATAATATTTAAATTAAAAACCATCAATATTAATACATATTTTTTAAAATTATTTTATAATCTCAATTTCAAAAACATTATCAATCAAACACTTTAAATAATTTTTTATTTAATCTTAATTTCAATTACAGTTTAAACCAAACATATATAAATACTAAATCAATCTCAACTAAAAATATTTTTTATAAAATAATTTTTTAAAATTATATAATAGCTATCATAATATCAAATATACCTAAAATTTTGTTGGTGGAACGCAATATCCTTACAAAAGCCTAAAAATGTTGTTGGGAATTGAAAAACCCATTTTGGGAATTAATTAAAGACTAATCGAAAGATGGAGGGGGACAGAATGACCTAGTGTATTTATAGGCTACACGATACAATATTTAGAGCAAGCAAAAACTCAAAATCAAAATTTAGGGTTCTTGATGGATTAACAAATAGTTGTTGCAACTAGTTCATTAGTGTTTTACAAGCCTTGGTGGATTTTCACGGGTGGCTCCAGACACCCATAGCATTATTAGAAAGGCAAAGCCTTAGTCTTCTCTACTTGGTTCAACTTGATAATGGATGTATAGATATTTATATAGAGAGGTTTGGTTTAAATATTTTTCTCAGCTTCAAAGATCGCAAACATTTAAATTGTGCTTCTGATTCAAGAAACTCAAATGATATTTATTCATGTTCATAAAAACAAAGGTGAAAATTTAGCCAGGTTTTCTTAAACAAACTTGTCACCCCTTGATATACTCTTGAGCGACGACAGTGTTGGCCTTGAGGGAAACAGGGACATCATGGATGGCACGTGAAGCGACATCGCGGATAATGGCGGATTCATTTTTCAAGCCAAATCAGAATTCTTCCAGGTCTTTCTTGTAGATTTCGATGATGAATTCAGATTTAATTGCTAGGGTTTGGATGGGAGAGCCAAGGGACCACGTAGAGTGTTGGGTTGGCGGATTAGGTTTCAAGTTTAGGTTTCCTATTTTTTTTTAAAAAAAAAACCGGATTTAACTGAATCAACCGATTTAATTAGACTAAAACATAGCAGTACAAATTTATATTTTTTGTTATAAAAAGTTATATCTCATAACAAACATAAAAAAATATCTTTTAGTTATTAATTAAAATAAAATAACAATCTTATACATATTTCAAACTTTTTATTTTTTTTTAACAAGTGTGCATGTGAGTGAGAAATAAAATGTTATAAAACCTACAAGATATGGGATGGAATGTATATTATAATTCCTAGGAAAAGCAGAGGTAAAGGTAAAAAAAATATATCAAACTACTAATTTGTCCTTTTATTTTTATTTATTATTTACCTCAAAATGAATTAAAATAAATATTAGAATTAATTTTAGATCTTACTTATCCGACCACTCACTCACCCATGTTTTCAAATAGTACAAAAAAAAAAAGAAAGGTGGAAGTGCAAACAACTAAAACCTCCGAAGATGGCCCAAATGTGTTCGATCATGCTTTTATTTTATAATATAATTATGGCTATTTTTGAAAATATTTTTTATATTAAAATAATATTTTTTAGTTTTAAAAAATTAATTTTGAAATTAGTATATCAAAATAATCTAAAATATATAAAAAAATAATTTTTAATAAAAAAATTTGAATTTTTTAAAATGCTCTTTTTGTCTTTTATTTAGAGTTTTTTATATATATATTTTTTAAAAATATATTTTTTTATTTTTAAAAATTTATTTTTGATATTAGTATATTAAAAAATTCAAAAATAAAAAATATTTTTAAATAAATAAATTTGTTTTGATAAAAAATTTTTTAGAGGTGGTTTAATAATGCAATTCAAATTGCGTTCCCCTAAAATTTTAAAATTAATTTTTTATATATTTAGATTATTTTGATTTCTTGATATTAAAAATAATTTTTTTTAAATAAAAATATTATTTTAATATATTTTTAAATAAAAAACTATAAACCATAATATTATGACGTTTGTTTCAAACTCTCCCTTAATTTATTTTATTAAACGCCGTCCACTACCGCTGATGAAAAAGTGACAAAAAGAGGGTTGCTTTATTATAATAATAAAAAAAAAACTCTCACGTCCCTCCGATTACCACCACCCCCTTGCCTTTATATTACTCCGTGATTTTATTTTTTTTAATTCTAGGTCACATAATTTTTCTTATAATAAAGTAGATTGTCCCATATCATGCAACGGGAAATATTGTGTTAACTAGGGAGGTTTAAATTAATTGATTAATTAAAAAAACTAGCACAAAATAAAAAACTAATTAAATCAAAATAATAAATTTTAATAGGTTCGGTTTAGTTTTGATTTTGAATAAAAAACTAAATCAAATCAAACCAGATCTACTAAAAAATTAATAAAAATTTAGGGTATAAATAGTTAATTTACAACCTAACCGGCTAAACCTAACAATTAACATAATCTTCTTGTTTTTCATAAAAAGCCGCCTTCTTGCTCGAAGAAATTATCAATCTTCCTCTCAATTAATTACTTATTTTCCTTACCAGGTTTCTTTCAATTTTCAACTGCATTGCCATATGCGTTTTAGCTTTTAACAAGCAAAGCCTTAGTCTTCTCTACTTGGTTCAACTTGATAATGGATGTATAGATATTTATATAGAGAGGTTTGGTTTAAATATTTTTCTCAGCTTCAAAGATCGCAAACATTTAAATTGTGCTTCTGATTCAAGAAACTCAAATGATATTTATTCATGTTCATAAAAACAAAGGTGAAAATTTAGCCAGGTTTTCTTAAACAAACTTGTCACCCCTTGATATACTCTTGAGCGACGACAGTGTTGGCCTTGAGGGAAACAGGGACATCATGGATGGCACGTGAAGCGACATCGCGGATAATGGCGGATTCATTTTTCAAGCCAAATCAGAATTCTTCCAGGTCTTTCTTGTAGATTTCGATGATGAATTCAGATTTAATTGCTAGGGTTTGGATGGGAGAGCCAAGGGACCACGTAGAGTGTTGGGTTGGCGGATTAGGTTTCAAGTTTAGGTTTCCTATTTTTTTTTAAAAAAAAAACCGGATTTAACTGAATCAACCGATTTAATTAGACTTAGTTAGTTTTCTTAGTCCAAACCAAACTCAACCATGAATACCTTTAATATTCACTTCTTATTTCTTTTTTTATTGAAAAGATTTTCAACGCCCCTGAATAAGAACCAAAATTTAAATATTTTACAAAAATAATTACAATCACCCTCAAGGTTTAAATATGCTATTTTTTTTTTGTAGTTATTGTTGTTGTTATTATTAATATTATTATTATTTTGATTTATTTGTAAATTTTTGGTTAATATTTATCATTTTTTTTTAAAAAATAGAGCTTTTATCTTTTGGATTTCTAACTTAAGTGGTGTTTAATATTATACTACTTAATATTTTTATAACATATTTTTTATTTAAAAATAAATTAAAATATTTATTATTATTTTTAACATTGTCATATTAAAATAATTTAAAAATATTAAAAAATATAAATATAAATTTAATATATTTTAAGAGAATTATAGTTTGAAAATTACTATAAAATAAAAGCTGATCCAATTAAAAAATAAAATCATAAAATGAAGTTTTTAAACTTTTAAATTTTTTTTTTAACAAGAAAGTATTTTAATTCAATCCACAATTAAATAAACTATGAGTACTCTCGGGTTTAAATCAAAATTAAATTTCTCTGAATTATTTTAAAAATGTAATTTCATAATAATTTAGTATATTTAGAGGTATGTAATAAATTTTACAAAACACTAACCTTAAAATCTTGAAAGTTCAAACAGACCAAGCACTAAGGCCTAGATTTCCTTGAATGAAAAAGCTATGGATAAACTGTTCTAGTGGGACCGATCACTATTATTGTTTTTCTTCTAACTTGTTCTCTCCACTTTGCCCAAGTCGCCTTCCGTTTTCCCAAGATTCTCCTCTCCATTTCTGACTGCTCCCCCACTCCTATTTTCTCCCGTTTGCTTCAACCGGATCCCACCAACACCGACAGACAGAAACCTCAATAGTGAACCATCCATGACGCTTGGCTCAGGAGGATCCAGTGTCGTGGGTTAGCCCTTGATCGATTATTTTTACAACCCACCCCTATGATTTATGATTTTTTGTTGATATCTTGTAAATTCTGTTCTCGATCTATCTTGAGGTGTCTCTTTGTAGGGTTATGTTTACTTCTTTGATTTGGGATTATGGGTTAGCTGCTAATGATGGAATTTATTTGGGTTTTAATTGTGCTTTTCTTTTTCCCCATTAAATCTGCTTCTGGGTTGTTTTTATGTGGCAAATTAATGGGATTTTTTAATTTGGCGATTGCAATTTTATGTGGGTCTCTTCTACTTGAGTACCTTGTCAAGGGTTTGCTGTTTTATGGAAAGTAAAATTTACTGTTCTTATTTGATGAGGGTGATTTGAACATATTCACTTCAGCATATGTTTAGGACTTAGCCATGGTTGTGACTGATTCATTATCGGCAACGAGTTGTTTGTTGTCTGGTTGTGGCAGAATAAATAGTTAACGATGTTTTAATGTTGTTTCTGCTCTTATTGGTGTTTTTTTTATAAGGCGCAACATAAGAATTTGGAGTTTAAGAAAGTGGAAACACTGTAGGTCTTGGTTTGGTGGATACTGAGGTGTGGTTGTGCATGTGGAGGTTTCTGCAAATTTTTTAAATGTTTAGTTGCTGAGTTAAACCGTTCAGTGTTTTTCTTTGACATCACTCTGATGATATTTTAGCTTTTGTTCTCTGATCAAAGAGTCTTAAGATCTGGATGATGTGATCGAACCATTTGCAATGTTTTAAACTTGAGCAGAATATTCATGTGGTGACTTCGAAAATGTTTTTGGAATTTGAGTTTGCTCAAGCGGGAATGTTTGGATTTACAAAAAAGATTGGGAAGCTAGCGCTCATCTGATTCTTAAGTCTGTTTTTCAAGATGAATTTTGATTGTTGCTTAGACTAGAGTCTAGAAACTAAAATGGAATATCGACATTTTAGGTTAGATATTGGACAACGTGTGTTAGAAACAATCAGTGGCACTGGTAGCTGTCTATATGGGGAGAGGCGACTGACCTAATGAGTATGTTTACATCATGTAGATAGTTGAAGGGCTTTTTTTTCCAGAGTTTGCTGGCCTGAACCCATATTTGATCCGATTGTTGCATTACTAACTGGAAGCATCTGGAGCAGTTGATTTATCAAGGATGTTATTGATGGGTTGACATTTGATTCTCAACAGTTTGTTTTACGCCCTTGGCATTTACATATAAACTAGCAGATGCATTAAACGGGCATGGAATTATTTTGGCTTATGAAAGCCATGGAGTTTGGTAGCGACTTTGTAAAAATCTCTAAATGTTGAACAATTAGTTTGGAGCTTGAACTTGTTTAGCATTTTAATTCTAAGTGTTTCTTGGCTTTCTATCTTATCATTGATGTAGAATATTGGGTGATATTGAGTGTTTGAGTTTCTGTGCAGTCCCTCGGAACTTCAGATTGCTTGAGGAACTTGAACGTGGAGAAAAAGGTATCGGGGATGGCACAGTAAGCTATGGAATGGATGACGGAGATGACATATACATGCGCTCTTGGACTGGCACTATAATCGGTCCTCACAATGTAATTCTTAATTTTTATACTTGTAATTGTTAAAAAATATCCATAGGATGAGACATCATGCTTGTGGAATTGCATGTATATGTAGCAAGTTTGACAATAGTACCGGTCTAGTATTATTTCAATCACATAAAAGAAATATAGCATCTGTATGGATGTTGGGTTTGCTGTTGCTAAAGGTCCAAGTTTCCTGTGGTTTTAGTAATTTTAAGGATAGGCTTGTAAAAAATTTGTTGGACACGTAGTTTGCTATTGCTACGTGGCTGCTTAAGATTCGATTTTGGGTGTAGTCTAATTAATAGGCTTGCTTTAGACTAGTCTTTGTGAGTTGCATCACAACAGGTCATACTTAAATTTTCTTTTTATAAACTTCTTTAATACAGATCTTGTCCTTCACTAGTCATGGAAATGAGGTCAGTTTGCTCCATTTGTTAGTAATTGCAACACAAATGATGTATCTCTGACCATTAATAAAGGGTGGTGTATTACATGTTTGAGGTGATGCTAGATCAATTTGCTAACTGACTTAAAATTAAACTTAGTTTGCTTGGGGAATCTCTGAAATAAAGGGGAGAACTTCTCAGAATAAATTGTGACATGTTTAAAGGCAAGGATATAAGCTGCTTAATCAAACAATTGAATTGAACAAAAAAATCTTGTTTTGGTTGATATTTACTGCAGAATGAAATCTATTGTGGCATTTGCGTTAGTTTGTCTAGGCTTCTAACCAATCTGGATGCTTTACAATTTCAATGGCTTCTTTTTTATGTCAGACTGTACATGAAGGTCGAATTTATCAGTTGAAGCCCTTCTGTGATAAAGATTACCCGGAGAAGCCACCAAGTGTTCGCTTTCATTCTCGGATCAATATGACTTGTGTTAACCATGAAACTGGAGTGGTATAGTGCACATTACTTGCATATTTATCTTATTCCATTTTGTAGTGATTACTTCAGTTTGTTTCATGCTGTAGAGCTGCCTTGGTATCTTGTGTGCTCCTTCCATCCGAAAATGTTATTCCATCACCAAAAGCAGTAAAAATTCTAGTTTACCTTCCAAGTTTGAAAAAATTAGTATTTTCTAATCATTTTATAGGGATTGAAACGACATACAAGTAAAAAGTAGAACAAAATATTTGTCTAATTTAATAAATTAATTAGTAATTTTTTTATTATTCTTTCTGCTTACTGGACGAATAATGGGACCGAAGGAGTGATTTTTTCCATCATGATATCTGTATGCTAATGTGTAAACCCCTCCACTCCCATGAAGTCCTGTTTTTGTTAGCTGCACAGATTGGGGCAGGTTCATCCATCACTGCTGATTTTTATATCAGCATTAGTCTATATGCTATAATCATGGTTATTGAATCCAATTTTATTGTTTTATGGATGGTCTGGTTGAATTGGATGATTAGAAGTTGATAACATGCTATTTCTGCAGGTGGAACCAAAAAAGTTTGGACTTCTCTCAAATTGGCAGCGAGATTACACTATGGAGGACATACTGACACAGCTGAAGAAGGAGATGGCAATACCACACAACCGTAAGCTGGTCCAGCCTCCTGAGGGTACCTACTTCTAGCTTCCAAGGTCATATAGATAATGGAGCATGTTGCTTTTGCAATATTTTACATATATAGCTTGTAATCCGGTGTTGGTCTTCTGGGGAATGCCCTTAAAAAGCTTCCCCGGTTAGCTCCCCATGGCTTCATTGACTTGTTGTCTGTCTTCTTTCGTGAAACTGTGTTGAAGGGATGCTGTTTGATTAATGGGATTTATCTGCGTGTCAAGTATTTATAAACACCCACCAAGCAGTAACTTAGTTTTAGCTTTATGAACATATAATTGCCTCAATGGGGGGGAGGGGACAATGGGCATGTCTATTGCTGTAGAATTGCTAGTTTTTATTTGTGGAGCCCATGCTAGCATACCAAAATTCACGGGGATCTGTGCTGCTGTGCAGCTACTGATGAACTTGCATAATGTTAAATTAAAAATCTGTAACCGAGTTTCCCATCCTTCATGCAGAAGCAACGCATCATGATAGTTCTCCAGGTGGGATTTTTGTTTTATATGAAAATGCAACCAAAGCACTAAGAGGACTAGAGCATTGATGTTAGAAAAATAGTTTTCAATCTCCATGGTTTTATAATCATGTAAAAAGCATGTATCCATGCTATGAAACTTTTGAATTTTGATGGCTGGAGTTGTGCGCAAGGCGAGGGGTCGTGAATACAAAAGAGGAGGCAAGTGGAAACCGAATATTTTTCAGCTTCAGCTTATTTTTCCCATTTGATCCGTTGCTTGCTTCAAAACAAATGGATCACTACTTCACCTTCATACCTTGCATATTTGATATAGGAAAGGTAGGAAATACAGAGTAGAAACAGTTCACTCACGTAAAGAATAGTTCAATACTACAAGTTATAAAATCAAAGAGATCACTTATAAAATCAAAGAGATATAGATGTAAATAACTTTTAACTTTCTAAAGATATAAATTTACCCACTACTTTCGAGATACAGAGATGAGGGAAGGAGATACATAACTCAATGTGGTGCTTAAAAGCCAAGTTAAAGGCTTTTTTTTTTTTTAATTAAAATTTTAACCAAAGATGCTTAATGCATGGTTTGAATGATTATTTTACACTTGAAACAACCTCTTTAAAATGTTAGATTTTAAAAGCCAAGTTAAAGATTTTTTTTTTAATTCAGATTTTAACCAAAGATGCTTAATGCATGGTTTGAATGATTATTTTACACTTGAAACAACCTCTTTAAAATGTTAGATTTTCAAAGCCTAGTTAAAGATTTTTTTTTTAATTCAGATTTTAACCAAAGATGCTTAATGCATGGTTTGAATGATTATTTTACACTTGAACCAACCTCTTTAAAATGTTAGATTTTAAAAGCCAAGTTAAAGGCTTTTTTTTTTTTTTTTTAATTAAAATTTTAACCAAAGATGCTTAATGCATGGTTTAAATGATTATTTTACACTTGAAACAACCTCTTTAAAATGTTAGATTTTCAAAGCCTAGTTAAAGATTTTTTTTTTAATTCAGATTTTAACCAAAGATGCTTAATGCATGGTTTAAATGATTATTTTACACTTGAAACAACCTCTTTAAAATGTTAGATTTTAAAAGCCAAGTTAAAGATTTTTTTTTTAATTCAGATTTTAACCAAAGATGCTTAATGCATGGTTTAAATGATTATTTTACACTTGAACCAACCTCTTTAAAATGTTAGATTTTAAAAGCCAAGTTAAAGATTTTTTTTTTAATTCAGATTTTAACCAAAGATGCTTAATGCATGGTTTAAATGATTATTTTACACTTGAACCAACCTCTTTAAAATGTTAGATTTTAAAAGCCAAGTTAAAGGCTTTTTTTTTTTTTTTTTAATTAAAATTTTAACCAAAGATGCTTAATGCATGGTTTAAATGATTATTTTACACTTGAAACAACCTCTTTAAAATGTTAGATTTTAAAAGCCAAGTTAAAGGCTTTTTTTTTTTTTAATTAAAATTTTAACCAAAGATGCTTAATGCATGGTTTAAATGATTATTTTACACTTGAAACAACCTCTTTAAAATGTTAGATTTTCAAAGCCTAGTTAAAGATTTTTTTTTTAATTCAGATTTTAACCAAAGATGCTTAATGCATGGTTTAAATGATTATTTTACACTTGAAACAACCTCTTTAAAATGTTAGATTTTCAAAGCCTAGTTAAAGATTTTTTTTTTAATTCAGATTTTAACCAAAGATGCTTAATGCATGGTTTGAATGATTATTTTACACTTGAAACAACCTCTTTAAAATGTTAGATTTTCAAAGCCTAGTTAAAGATTTTTTTTTTAATTCAGATTTTAACCAAAGATGCTTAATGCATGGTTTGAATGATTATTTTACACTTGAACCAACCTCTTTAAAATGTTAGATTTTAAAAGCCAAGTTGAAGATTTTTTTTTTAATTCAGATTTTAACCAAAGATGCTTAATGCATGGTTTGAATGATTATTTTACACTTGAACCAACCTCTTTAAAATGTTAGATTTTAAAAGCCAAGTTAAAGGCTTTTTTTTTTTTTTATTTCAAATTTTAACCAAAGATGCTTAATGCATGGTTTAAATGATTATTTTACACTTGAAACAACCTCTTTAAAATGTTAGATTTTAAAAGCCAAGTTAAAGGCTTTTTTTTTTTTTTTTTATTTCAAATTTTAACCAAAGATGCTTAATGCATGGTTTGAATGATTATTTTACACTTGAAACAACCTCTTTAAAATGTTAGATTTTAAAAGCCAAGTTGAAGATTTTTTTTTTAATTCAGATTTTAACCAAAGATGCTTAATGCATGGTTTAAATGATTATTTTACACTTGAACCAACCTCTTTAAAATGTTAGATTTTAAAAGCCAAGTTGAAGATTTTTTTTTTAATTCAGATTTTAACCAAAGATGCTTAATGCATGGTTTGAATGATTATTTTACACTTGAAACAACCTCTTTAAAATGTTAGATTTTAAAAGCCAAGTTGAAGATTTTTTTTTTAATTCAGATTTTAACCAAAGATGCTTAATGCATGGTTTGAATGATTATTTTACACTTGAACCAACCTCTTTAAAATGTTAGATTTTAAAAGCCAAGTTAAAGGCTTTTTTTTTTTTTATTTCAAATTTTAACCAAAGATGCTTAATGCATGGTTTGAATGATTATTTTACACTTGAAACAACCTCTTTAAAATGTTAGATTTTAAAAGCCAAGTTAAAGATTTTTTTTTTAATTCAAATTTTAACCAAAGATGCTTAATGCATGGTTTGAATGATTATTTTACTCTTGAAACAACCTCTTCAAAATGTTAGATTAGCCTTATCAAAAATTTTTCTTTCTATTTGATCCATGTCCTTTCTGATGATTATTTTTATTTATTTTTAATAATTTATAAAATTATATATATATTTTTAATTTCATCTTTTTATAATTCTTAATTTTTTATATTTGGTTTTCAATTTTTTGATTGCTGTTTATTTTATTTGGTGGTCATTTTTTAAGGTTTTTTTTTTTTAACAATTTCATCCATATTGGATTTTTTTTCAATTAAATTTGGCATCCATTTTTTTTAGTGCTATTTTTTTTCTTTGAAAAGTTTTTTAAATTAATATAGTTTTTATGATCTCATCATTCAAAATGAAATTGGTTGGGAATTAAGTTTTTTGATTGAATCTAAATTTAGAATTTCAAGGATTGCAAGTTTTTAAAATTAGACTAGATTTAGAAGGTTCATCTACTTTAACTCTTTTTTGAGCTAGTTATTTTTTTTATATAGTTTTACTTTGTTATTTTTTTACAATTTTTCTTCTATGAGGTTAGTTTAAGTTCATGATTAGAGTCATGAATTTCAAATATTAATGTAAAGTTGAGTTGATTTAAAAATAATAAAATTGATTTAATCAATTTCATCATTTAAATTTATTGGAAGTTGAACTTCGTGTTTTTCTCTCCTTTCCTCTTCAATATTAAATTATTTGATAATTAAGTTTCATGATTTTATTTGGCATACTTTTAAATGTGATTATTATGGATCATGATTGAGTTAATGATTGTTAATCTTGATCTAGGTGGGGCCCAAATTAATTTTTTTAAAATTTTTAAATGTTTTAAATTTTTTATTCTTTTTTATTTTATTTTTTGAAATTAAGCTTCAATTTATATTTTTTATTTTATTTTCTATAAATTTATCACATTCTCATTTAATTTATTAAAAACTGATTTTTAGATTTTTTTTTCTATAAAATTATCCTATTCTTATATCCATAGTTGTGGTGTTTGTGAGTTAATTTTATTTAACAATAATCTATTTTTTATTTTTATTGTTTTTTTAAATTATTTTTTAATTTAATTATGCTTATCAACAAGTTGTTTAATAATTTGAAAGGGATTAGATTGCTTCTTTTTAATTTTTTATGTCATTTTGTCTTAATTTATTTATTATCATTGTGGTTTTTTGTTTATTTTATTTAAATTATCAATTGGAAATAATTTTTTTTTCTAAGCAACATTCTTTTATATCGGGAAAAAAACCCCAACCCGCGGCGGAGTGACATCTACAAATCTAGTAACGTAATACCCCTGTATTTTTCTATTTTCTGTTTTTCCCATGTGCCCATAGGAGCTTAACAAACACGTCACCAACATTATCCAATCCATCAGGCATTTACGTCATTTCAACCCAAACAAAAACGCACCGCAGTCATGACTCCCCTCCTCCTTACACACACACACACACACACACACACACACACACACAAATTATTAAACAAAAATAGATGCTATGCATAGATTGCTTGCACCTTTCGCTACAACAACTTGTACGCTCGATTCTTTTTTTCCTAATTAAAAAACCTAGCTAATTAAATCGCCTTCCTCTGTTACGATCCCACGTCTCATTTCTATAAAAACCACGACGGAAAAAATTTCAAATTTCAAATAAAATCAATCAACAATAATTAAAAAGAAGAAGAACGAAACCCTCACAATCTTGATCCGGACTTTTAATCTTTGAATGCCTGATTTTATAAACGAATCCAAACCATGTCAAACTCTGATAAACCGCCGCCGCCGCCGCCTCCACCACACGACCGCAACGTGCAAGGACTGTCATAATCCGGTCGGTCTGGGCAGACAATTTAGAAGAAGAATTCAAGTTTATCCGATCCGAAATCGACAGGTACCCATTAATCTCAATGGACACAGAGTTTCCCGGTATCGTTGTCCGTCCTGTCGCCGGATATCCGTACAACCGCCATCGTGACCCAACCGCTCACTACTTGAGCCTCAAAGCCAACGTTGATCTCTTAAATCTGATCCAAATAGGACTCACGATCGCTGACGAGTATGGGAATTTACCCGATCTAGGTTTTAAAGATCTCTGCTTCATTTGGGAATTCAATTTTAGGGATTTTGACGTGGCGCATGATGCACATGCGCATGACTCGGTGGAGTTGTTGAGGCGGCAGGGAATTGATTTCGAGAAGAATCGGGAGCTCGGGATTGACTCGGTGAAATTCGCTGAGTTGATGTTGCCGAGTGGACTCGTGCTGAATCAGTCAGTGAGTTGGGTAACGTTTCACTGTGCTTATGATTTTGGTTACTTGGTGAAATGTTTGACTCATAAAGTGTTGCCAGAGGGGTTAAATGAGTTCTTGGAATTAGTGAGGATGTTTTTTGGAGATAGGGTTTGTGATATAAAGCATATAATAAGGTTTTGTGCGGGTTTATATGGTGGATTGGACCGGGTATGTAAGGAAGTGGGCGTGGATCGGGTTATAGGGAAGAGTCACCAAGCCGGGTCGGATAGTTTGTTGACATTGCATGCTTATATGAAGATAAAAGACAAGTATTTTTTCAAGGATAAAGATAATGATCGAGGATTAGAGAAGTACGCTAATGTTTTGCATGGTTTAGAATTGTTTGATTGAATTGGAGATTGATCCGTCCTTTTTCATCCTTAGAAAGTTGGCTTATCACTTTTCGTACACATTTTTCACTTTGATCAAGTTTTAATAGTAGTTCTCAAGTTTAAATCTTTTGGTTAATCTATATATGTTTTTCTGCGTTGAACTTTATTTGTTTGAATTTAATTTAATAATGTTTGTGCTTGCTTACCTTGATAAAAACAGAGGCAGTGCTCAGAGCTAACATTGGGGCTATAATTCTGGGAATTAATTTACTTGGAAACTCAAAGAATTCAATTTAGGGTGCTGAAAGTGTATCTCTCAGAGATTTTTAGAACAGGGTTGAATGATTTTTAGAGCAGTATAGAAGACAATACTGTTTCCTAGAACAATACCAATTTTTTCCTACTTGAAAAGCTGTCCACCCGTTCTAGGGTCTTCTCTGCTAGACTGCTCAGCTTATTGTCTTGCTCCTCACACTGAAGATCGACTAGCTCTATTGTATCCGTGTGTTACAAAATTATTGAAACATCAAATTATTTATTTTTATCGCAATGGAAGAAGCAATGGATTTGTATACTTCACACGCACAAACCACTGTAAATTGTGCGATGACAAGTTGAGAACTCCTCCCTTTGTATTGTTGGCCCACCATGTGATTACTAGAGTTACTGATTGCGACTAACTATTATAGCTCGTGTGAATTATTAATTCTGAAGTTGAGAGTTTGTATGCATGTGTTATTACATCATATTACAGAAAGGGACTCCCACATGCATGCACTGTGCGAGCGTGACATCTTAGTATTGTGTTTGTTCTCCCCAGTTTAAATCCGTTAAAGGAGTGCGCGCCGTTGATGAAGGAAAGTCCATGTGATTGCAATTAGCAGCCCGGTAAATTTGTGTAAGGGATATGGATATCATCTATCTTTATATTGATATGATATTATTTACTTTACATCTAAGTTTTCATGGATTTGCTCATGGACTATATCCAAAAAGCTTCATATCAATAGAGATATTTGTCCATCCTTATATATCAATAGAGATATTTGTCTGGGACTTTGGTCGCATATCCAACAATTCTCTCCTCGAACAAAGGACCACCAAGTCTCCACTCAAATGATTATTTATCCATCCACTCTCTACCGACCAGGATTTTTCAATCTCTACTTCATCGTGTTGGGGTCAGGACACGTCCATGAAGCATCTGGAGCTCTTCATTCTCTACTTCATCATGTTGGGATCAGCATATGTCCATGAAGCATTTGGAGCACACCGCCTATCCAATAGAGTTGATCTATGATCATGATCTAATTAGAGCCCACCACCTTCGTTCGGCATTCCGAGGATTCATCTCTGCCATGGCTAATTCTGGAAGGGATATGGATATCATCTATCTTTATATTTATATTGATATGATATTATTTACTTTGCATCTAAGTTTTCATGGATTTGCTCTTGAATTATATCCAAAAAGTCTCATATCAATAGAGATATTTGTCCATCCTTATATATCAATAGAGATATTTGTCTGGGACTTTGGTCGCATATCCAACAATTCTCTCCTCGAACAAAGGACCACCAAGCCTTCACTCAAACGATCATTTATCCATCCACTCTCTACCGACCAAGATTTTTCAATCTCTACTTTATCGTGTTGGGGTCAGGACACGTCCATGAAGCATCTGGAGCTCTTCATTCTCTACTTCATCATGTTGGGGTCAGCACATGTTCATGAAGCATTTGGAGCACACCGCCTATCCAATAGAACTGATCCATGATCATGATCTAATTAGGGCCCACCACCTTCGTTCGACATTCCGAGGATTCATCTCCGCCATGGCTAATTCTGGGGCATGAGTCTGATACCACTTGTAAGGACTATGGACACCACCTATCTCCACATTAGTATGATATTGTCCACTTTGAGCCTAAGCCCTCATGGATTTGCTCTTGGGCTATACCCAAAAGGTCTCATACCAATGAAGATATTTGTCCATCCTTATATACCCATAATCCCCCCCATTTCTAGCCTATGTGGGAATT